ACTGTATGAATGGTCCCGCAGTCCCCTGGGACCCGTGACATGTGGCAGAAGGTTGCAGGCATGGGGGGAGACTTCCGCAACGATCGCTTAGGTGGTTGAACTGAAAGTGGGAGTGAATACCTGCTAAAACTAGGTACTTGACCACCCACCTAAAAAACAAATCAAAACAAAAAATCCTCCAAAAGTGGAAAAGGAGGGGGGAAGGAGGTGTTAAAGCAGAACTTCTCTTTTAGGGTGAAGTTCCACTTTAAGTTTCACGATTGCAGGTTAGGTGCATATAAATTTTTGGTAGGTGTACCACATTGATGGAATATATACTAAATTTGAACATGTTGGTAAATGTAGAGATACTGTTAGGTTTTGAGACTTGCAATCACATTACAAACATATTCTAGTCACATAAATCAAAATGAAAAAAAAAACAAAAAAAACAACAGTCAAATTACAGTGACAGAGTTGCTAATGATCAATAACAGACTGCTTCAAATATTTCCGAATGGGCAAGTCAGTCTTAACTATAGTCCTAGTGATTAGCAGCAACATTTAAGTATTTACTATCTAGTTTGCTGTCAGCAGTTACTACATTTAGGTGTTTGCATACATTTTCATCAACACCTGTACTGGTCCTTTAAGGTTAAAAAAAAAATCTTTTCTTTTCATATCTAAGAGAAACTATACATTCACACAAAGCAAAGTCCTCACTCTTAAGTTAACTATTGCCAAGAGTGTTGCTGCCACCATCTGGAGTGTGCATGCAACAAATAGTTCTAAAGTGTGATGTCCATTAGGATGTGAGACTATTGAATGAACATTATTTAAAAGGGACATTCCATGATAGAAATACCATTCTAAATTTGTTTGTGAAGATGCAAACTCAAATCAAACAAGTATGTGCATATCTAGTTTCCCAAGACTTCACTGGTTGCATGCTTGCTCCAGGTCAGTGATTCTCTAGCATGGGTAATTAAAATCAATATGACAGCCTTGAAGACTGAACCTTCAAAAACATGTCAGCAATAAGTGCTCATATATTTCTAATGTAACAACTTTACAGAGGGCAAACCTTGCTTTGTTGAAAAAAAAAAATCATATATACTGTATTTTCTACACAAACAATTGATTTATTGGTATTTACAATTACTTTTTCATTTTGATCAGTAGCAACCTATGATTTTCTGTAAATAAATTTTTTTTCTTACCAAGCCAGTGTGTGATTACATAACAATATCAGATGCTTTGGGTACTTTGCCTTACAGTTCTCCAGTAAACAAGTTACAGTCTTGACAATGAAATGTGATTAGCAATAAGTATTTAGTAATGTTTACTGCCAATAAGGGAGGTCCCATCAACAACTTTATTTTAATTTGGATTTACTGTAGGTAATCATTTAAACATTCAGTCTTAATTTACTGTAACTCTGCAGGTTTATGTGAAGGTTGTCACTTATCCAGGTCATGGCATCAAGCAATAGTTACATTCAACTGGACTAGTTTTTTAGTGCTGAAGATGTTTCATAGCTCAAAGCCACTTCTTCAGTTCCAGTGCTTATCGATATCTCAGCATTTACAGTATATCTACACAGGTAACACCAATACCTTCATTCAATCACCATGAAAAGGCAGATGTTATTGTCAATGAACATCCTGTGTGGATTTAAATACTGGGGTATTTTCCCAACACTACTTAGAAATGAAAAAGTGGTTTGGATAAGCTACGAAACTTCAACATTTCAGAACAAGTTCAGGTGACTAACTACAACTAGATATGCAGGTTTACATACAAAAGGCTTCACATTTGCCTTCTTATTTGGCTTTATAAAAGAAGAACTCCTAATCACCCATTAGAACACCCCTACACAAAACACTAAACGGTTAATGAATTTTGAAAATTCTTACCATTTAGAAGAAAAGTCTAAATGAATTTTCATGGCCTCATCTCTATAATTCAAAAGATAACAGCATCTGCTCTACCAAGGAGTAGGTGTAACAGCAGGGATTACATCATAGCCTTTCCTCTCTGCAGTAAAAGGAAACTACAGCTCCCATCAACTACAGAGAATAGTAGTGAGTGTGGACAGGTACACTAGGCCTGTACATGCTGAATGTGTCTGAGAGCCTTGATCCAACCAACACCGCAAATGGGGCTGAATTACATCACTGCGTCATGGAGAAAGAACCACAGAAGAGATGTGCCAAGGCCTGTGGGCTGGGGGAATAGGAGGCATAGCAGACACTGGTCTTACAAATAGGAAACCAAAGAGAATTAAATGGTTTGATTTGAGAATGAATAGGCTATTTCAGAGCAACTACTGAGTGAACCAGAAGATGGATGACATATTCATTGAAGGTAGGAAATCAGCAACAATTACATGTAAAGAAGTTGTTGCATGGGTTCTGCTTTAAACAAAACTCTCTGCACTCCCTACCAAATTGCTGTAGCTTTGAAGTGCAGGTCCCAAAAGAAATTTGCACAAATATGCAGCAGGCACCCAAAACTTTGTAGCACAATTCCTATTAGCGCATCACTCTGTTGGATAGACTCACTAGCTAACGGGAATGTTTAGGAATTTGTAAAGCGCAGGCACACTTCATCATCATCAAAAACTGCCGAAGGCTTGCCTGTCAGAACAGCCTTGGCCATGACAGAAAACTTTAGAAGGCTGCTGTAGGTACCCGTAGATAGAGTCTCTATACATTGACTGACATGCAGTTGAAAGCAAAGAGGACCTTATGAGGGCTGACAGTTGCTGGGCTTTAAATATCTGATTTCATGCTAATAACATACACTGACAGCTCTGGAGTACGCATATCAACACCAAATAACAGAGTCAGCAATTGACAGTACATAAAAAGGAAAATAGGGCAGACAAAAAAGATCTTTCATAAGTATGCCCAAACAATTAAAATATTTAAGAATGAATATTCAGACTCTGGCATGAGCATAACTATGACCAATTTAGAATTAATTACTGCACCAGATTCTGCACTCTCTAGTTTTAGTAAATAACCCCCCATGAATGTGATTACCAAAGATCAGGCTGATCTTTCTGGAGGAGACTACTTGCCGCTGTAAAAAGGTAAAAACAGAAAAAAAAAAAACTTCTGAATATGATTGAAATATTTGAAACTTTCAGTAATGTTTCAGGTTCACAAAGAAAAAACCCCTAAACAATTTATGCCCAGAGTGGTGAGCATTATCGTCTTGTAGCACAGGGGGTCATTGGTTAAATCGCATACCAGCACAATATGAAAGACTTGCCTTAAAATGAAGTCCCCAGCAGCGCAATGTCCCGGTCTTCCTTCCGGGTTCTTTGGCCATGGCCATTTGAATGGCTGAGCAGCAATGGTGTCACTCCCACACAAGTGCACGGGAGCCATGATTGTGGCACAGCGCTCTGGAAGGACGGTAAACTCAGTATGTCGTTGCTTCAGAGCAGAGCGTATGCGCCTGTGACGTCACTGGCTGCTAAACATGTGAATTTCTCCTAACCAGTGCATGTTTACAAGATATTAATTTTGCCTACCGGTAACATTTATTATAAATAAGGTAAGTGTTGCAAATAAAAGTTTACTACAGCTTTAAAGACTAAACTCTGAAAAATAGATCCACCCTTTAGCAACGCATTGGTTACATCCCATGACAGCAACTATCATCTTCTCCGAGCTACTTTCAGGAATGGCATCATTGCATGTGCACGGGAGTCAGGCATTCCAGTACAGAGTGCACCAGAAATGCATGCCAAGTGTAGATTCAATAGGAGACTGCGAGAAGTCAGGTAAGTGTACCATGGCATGTTTCTTCTGCAGTAAAGTGCTGCCTGCTCATTGTTTTTTTTACATTTTAGGTTTAGTTTCACGTTAAGAGATTTTAACTATTTGAAGTGCAGTTTGAAGGTGCGCATCTGCTATCGGTATTTAGTTTCCTTCAAATATATAATTACCGCATGCCAACAAACTTTCCTTAACAAAAAGAAAAAACTTTATTTGTAAAATATAACAAAAGGAAAAATCATGAAAGGAATCTACAAAACAAATCCTGGAGTTCCACTTTAAGAAACCTCATGTCTTCAAATAACACAACCCTGATACAATGGAACAAAAAAAAAAAAATAAAACATTTTTAATATGAAAAATTAACCACCTGGTAATTATTTTCACTTGTTTCTAATGGTCATGCACATGATTAAAAAAAAAATCATTATCTGTGTATGGTCACTCCTTCCCAGAATTTCATACCAGGCAGTGAAGGAGGGGGTAGGTACAGGCAACGCAAGGCTCCCTCTTACTACCAATGGTTTTAAACAAGCGTGGGTGCAGATTGCTGATTTAGAGTGTATAGTTAGGTAGACCACCTAAATTGTATATTAACCACTGTCCCATAGTAACAAACTAGGCATACAGATTTTGGACATCTAAAGTAGCTCTACCATTAGAATTTACACAAACGGGATCATTTATCTTTCATTCACACAGACACATAAACCTAGATGGCTGTGCTTAGGAGCATAGGGAATGACAGGTCTTTTGTGAGGGCAACCTGTCAAAATCTATATAAAGCTGAGAGATGGAACACCAGTATGGATCTTCCCACACGTGCCAGTATTTACATCCGTACATGACCAGACACACAGCTCTGGATGCAGGCAAGACAAAGATAAATGATGTGCTATAACCTACTGCAACTAAGTACAGATCAGCCTGACATGTTCAAATCTGATTTCTGGTTGGTTGGGTTCCAGCTTAATTTAGGGGGAAAAAAAAAGCACCGAACACTTATGCAGCCACTTCCCACTAAGAAAAATCTGTCCAATCAATCTCGTTTGTGGCTGACAATACACGGTATGTCTGTTCATGGAAATTCTTGAATGCTCAGCTCACACATACTGTAAGTAGTCCAGCATTTACAACGATCTTGGCATTTGGTCCACTGTATCTATTTCCAGGACTACTGGTATCTTATATGCTTTAATGTTCAACTCAAAGTTGTAAGTTTCACCAAGTTCAGTTTTCCTTCATTTTCTCTTTGGCACTTTTCTTTTTCTTCTGCAAAGTTTTAAGTTCTGTCATCACAGTCAATGTTTTATAAACCCAATGGACCTGGTATAAATGATAAGAAAAGCACAAATTACCAGCCTAATAATGTATGGGTGTAGATATTTATTTTTCAAGATGCATCAGTTAGTTTATTGTGTCAGGGTATATACATACAGTGGATATAAAAAGTCTACACATCCCTTTTAAAATGTCAGATTTCTGTGATGTAAAAAAATGAGACAAAGATAAACCATTTCAGAACATTTTCCACCTTTAATGTGACCTATACATTGTACAACTCAATTGAAAAACAAACTGAAATCTTTTAGGGAGGGAAAGTAAACATAATAAACTAAAATAATGTGGTTGCATAAGTGTGCACACCCTCTTATAACTGGAGATGTAGCTGTGTTCAGAATTAAGTAATTACATTCAAAATCATGTTAAATATGAGTCAGTATACACCTGCCATCATTTAAAGTGTCTCTAATTAACCCCAAATAAAGTTCCGCTGTTCTGGTCTTTCCTGGCATTTTCTTAGTCGCATCCTACAGCAAAAGCCATGTTCCTCAGAGAGCTTCCAAAGTATCAGAGGGATCTCATTGTTAAAAGGTATCAGTCAGGAGAAGGATATAAAAGAATTTCCAAGGCATTAGATCTCCCATGGAACACAGTGAGTCATCATCAAGTAGAGAAAAAATGGTGCAACAGTGACATTACCAAGAACTGGACATCCCTCCAAACTTCATGAAAAGACAAGAAGAAAACTGGTCTGGCAGGCTGCCAAGAGGCCTCCAGCAACATTTAAGGAGCAGGAATATCTGGCAAGTACTGGCTGTGTGGTACATGTGACAACAATCTCCCGTGTTCTTCAGATGTCTGGGCTACGGGGTAGAGTGGCAAGATGGAAGTCTTTTCTTACGAAGAACAACATCCAAGGCGGGTAAATTTTGCAAAAACACATCTGAAGTCTCCCAAAAGCATGTGAGAAAATGTGTTATGGTCTGATGGAAGGTTGAACTTTTTGTTTATAATTACTCATAACCTGATAGACTGAGTGCTGGAATCAAATCAAAAGGTGCTTCAACAAAAGTATTAGTTTAAGGGTGTGCACACTTATGCAACCATATTATTTTAGTTTTTTATTTTTACTTCCCCCCACCAAAAAGATTTCAGTTTGTGGTTCAACTGAGTTGTACATTTTATAGGATTACATTAAAGGTGGAAAAAGTTCTAAAATTATTTATCTTGGTCTCATTTTTTTACATCACAGAAACTTGACATTTTAACAGGGGTGCGTAGACTTTTTATATCACACTGGGCACGCAAGTTTACAACACGTTGGCTTCATGGTGCCTTCAGCAATAATGGGGATATCATGATGTGAAAACTGCGTCATGAGTGCTTCCAGAATTTATGGTTTGCTTCCTGCAAGAAATCATTCATAGGAGGTCATTTACAGCAGTAGATGCTGTTCACTATGGCTATGTTCACTTCAACCATACAATCACATGCAAGCAAAAATACTGTTATTGTATTTTCCCTTGTACATGGGTGGGTATCAAGAGTGAACACAGCTACACTTCACTTACTAAGCTCAGAGTATATTCACTTTGCTAAGTAAACAGCATTGAGTCCTTTAGTAAATCAATCCCAAAGTCTTATGTTATGAGGGAGTGAGATGAACAAAAGCAAAAAACAGGAAAGGATGCATTGGAAAGCAATCAGATTGCACTAAGAAAAGAAAATAAGTAGCCTGGATGGTAAGGACAAATGCTTCACTTTGACTCTAGTCTTCATAAATCACAAAACAACCCTAAAGTACATCTGACATTTTAGGCATCAGACACCCTTTTAAAGAAATGAAAGTTTTATGTATATATTGCTAAAACGGCTCTCTTGATAGGCAATTTCGTCCAAGCCTTACCTGTAAAAAGAAATGTGTATCTCACTAAGAGCTCATTTACACTTGCTTTGATGTTAACACACATTAAAGTGCTACCGCCTTAAGATACTTTTTTAAAAGTGTTTTTTATGCTTCTGCAATGCTTCGGTGATGCTATTTTGAAGCTATAGTGAAGCTTGGCAAATGCCGAGTATGTGTTGATTTTCAATTTGTTTTAAAGGGGCCCAGTAGAACCCCAGCTTAGTAGCACCCCCACTCAGCAAATCCCCAGTTTATTAGTACCCCTGTTCAGCATATCTCCTGCTCAGTAGCACCCCAGCTTTGCTGATCCTCCACTCAGTAGTAACCCAGAACTCTGCTGATCCCCCTCTCTCTCGTCCATGCTCACCTCCTGCCATATTGCTCCCACCATGTGCACCACGTGCGGGGGGAGAGGAGGAGGACAAGGAGGAGGAGGAGAGAGAGAGAGAGGGGAGGGGGGGAGGGGGGGAGGGGGGAGAGAGAGAGGGGGAGAGAGGGGGGGGGAGAGAGAGGGAGGGGAGGAGAGAGGGGGGGGGGAGAGAGGAGAGGGGGGGGAGGGAGAGAGAGGGGAGGGGGAGAGAGAGAGAGAGAGGAGGGGGGGGGAGAGGGGGGGAGAGAGGGGGGGAGAGAGAGGGGGGGGAGAGAGAGGGGGGGGGGAGAGGGAGGAGATTGATCATCTATTGCACTTATCTAGGGTCTGTGGCCGTGATACCCGACATGCAGCAATGGAGTCTCCTCTCTTGCTCCCCCTCTTCATGGTCAGCTCTAGGCTCCGCCCTCTGGCCGTGACGGTTGCATGCACTGATCAGAATAGATGGCCGCTGGCTGCAGAGAGGCCAGGTGAGTGGTGCGGGTTCATAAGCCGAGCCCACCTTCCCCTGTTCTAGAATTGCTGATCCCACCCTCCTGCCCGAGCCCTGCCGAGCTCTCCCGACCGCAGCAGATAAGCCCCTGCCCGGCGGGCCAGATAAATGTCCTCAGCGGGCCGTAGTTTGAGGATCCCTGCTCTACATCTTGCTTCACCATGCAGTGGTTCCAGGGTCACCAAAGAGCCAGGAGGCTCTCCAGTGTTCCCCCTTTGGAATTCTGCCTGGCAGCCGCCAACGGCAGCGTGCTGACCTTCTGGCAAAACCCTACTAGGAAGAATTTTCAAACTGTCAGAAACATTTGGATCCCAGTCCTCTTCACAATGGTTCCCTCAGCAAACTCTTTAAAAGTGTTCCACTGTATAAATTCACTAGGCTGTAAAATCAAAAGAAATGATTTAAGAACTGAAGGCACTACTCACCACAATTATTATAGTATTGAACAATAACGGAGCTGAAAAAGCTAATGAAATGAACATTCCAGAAGAATCGAAGTATTGCTGCTTTGAATACTTTCTGAATGATAGAAAACAAAAAATCAAACCATGAATATGGAGAGAACAGTACTTTGAGGAATAGGAATATCAACAGTAATAATACCTTCATACTACACACATAAAATAAACATTTATTATGGGTTGTGCAGTTCACCAGAATGTGGTGTTCTCTGGCATACAAAGCTGCACATACTTGTTATTAAATCTTCACTACAGAACCTTAAAGATCCATTAACACTATGGCATTGAGGTAAGGCATGTTTCATCGCAATGCAATGCACATTACATGCCTTAGTACAATGCGGTGCCATTCATTCTGAATGGGAACTCAATGCACCATGCCAACAGATGTGTGTTGCCAAAATATAATGCATGCAATACTGTTCATCAACAAGATGCGTTTAGGTGCCATTCAGAATGAAAGGCGCTGTACCAATGCATGTGATGCACATTGCAGTAAAGCATGCAACCGCGCAGACATTGGTGTAAATAATCCGTAAAGTGATTTACACTTTATAGTTCCTGGAATGGAGGTAATACAGTTAAGTCAATCATGATATGTTCCAACGCTTCAAATGACAGTAATAATGGTCTTTGGTGTGTGATTTAATATCCATCCACTAAAAAGCGGACCTAAAACAAGCTTTGGTACTTTTTTGTATTGTTTGAAAATCATTTTTTCTAAGTTAAAATAACCGTTAATGTCCAACGTCATGTCTGCCTGAACTTTAAATAGCTGGTCCAAACAAACTATTAACTTCACTAACACATGCACTCACTGAGAGCACTGTATATACTGTACATAGCATCAGCCACATACAGTATACAACACTATGTTCCAGCAGTGGTAAAGGGATTTCTTGGTTTAAAAAAAAAAAAGAAGGGAGTTGGGCTGAGTGCTGCTCAGCCATCCACCGGAAGCCTTGTATTTTTAAGAATGAATACAAGGCTTCCTCTGATTGCCTGAGGTGGAGAGATGAATGGATGACGTCATGATATCCACTTCAGCCAATCAAAGGAAGCCTTTCATTCATTCTTAAAATACAAAGCTTCCTGTGAATGGCTGAGCAGCATTCAGCCCAAATCATTCTGTTGATGATTCCACTGTCATAACACAGTAATGTATACTGTACATAGCTGATCCTACATACAGTTTATATAGCATTGCAAGTACTGATGTTTTGCTTGGGGATCAAATACCTATTTTACTCACTGAACTGCAATTCAATTTATAATATTTGTATCATGTGTTTTTTCTGGATTTTTGGTTGATATTCTGTCTCTATCATTTAAAATACGCCTATGATAAAAATTATAGACCCTTGATTTCTTTGTAAGTGGGATCTTCCATTTTGCTTGAGGTGATTGTAGCCGTATTAGTGCATTCGCGACAGAAACAATTGAGTACTGTCCATGATACTTTTTTTATTTGCACTAACATACAATTTTGAGGACAAGCTTTCGGGGTATGTCCCCTTCTTCAAAGTCCAAACAGCAAACAGTACTATTACAAACTTTGTGATTTGTAATAGTACTGTTTGCTGTTTGGACTTTGAAGAAGGGGACATAACCCGAAAGCTTGTCCTCAAAATTGTATGTTAGTGCAAATAAAAAAAGTATCACGGACAGTACTCAATTGTTTTTGTAAGTGGGAAAACTTACAAAATCTGCATGGGATCTAATAATTATTTCCCTCATGTAAAACATTAAAAATAAGTGCCTGTACTGTTTAAAATTCAGTAATACACAGTAACACACTGCTCTGCACATGCTCGGTTGCTCTCCATTGTTAACCACTGCCAAATTTGTAAAGGCCAATCTGCTGGCAGCCTTAATGTGGAATTAAACCCTTCTATCCCTACAGCAAAGGAAGATGCTTCTGTTTGATCTGTAACTGTTATGGTGCTGCACATGTGATCAGTTATAACACCAGCCATTTGATGGTTTGACAATTTGGATGAGGACACAAGCAAATGTGACCATTAGCAATCCAAACATTCCAGGAATGTAATTGCTTTTTGAAACTGTTAAATCGATGGGTTTAGTTCCGCTTTATGATTTATAGCTGTTCAGGGACTCTGGGCTTTAGCAAAATGGCCGTTTCCAGCAAGAAGAAACAGGAACAATGCTGGAAGCAATTTACAGCACACACTAATTTTGGTAGCATAATTATCCAATTCAATGCCGGACAATTTTACACCTTCCCTCCCAGGCCAGTTTTCAGGTTTCAGCGCTCTCACACTTTGAATGACAATTGTGCGGTCATACAACATTGTACCCAAACTAAAATATTATCGTTTTCTTCACACAACTAGAGCTTTCTTTTGGTGGTATTTAATCACCGCTGGGGTTTTTATTTTTTGCTAAATTAACAAAAAAAGACCAAAAATTTTGAAAAAAAAAAAGTTTCTGTTATAAAAGTTTGCAAATAAATAATTGTTCTTCATAAATTTAGGCCGAGATGTATTCTGCTACATGTCTTTGATGAAAATAACCAAAATTAGGATGTATTTTTTAGTTTGTAGGAAAGTTATAGAGTTCACAAACTATGGTATAGATCTGAATATTGATCAATCCTGAAGTACTGACAGCCAATCTAATTTCTTGAGGTCCAAGAATGTCAGAACAGTACAGATATCCCCCTTTTTGCAAAGTAGACATAAATCAGTCCGACGTACTTCATAAGAGGCATGGCGAGTTTTTTTGAAGTTGTATTTTTTTTGTCATAATTTTTCGGAAAATGAAAAAAATTTAAAAAAAATTAGTTTCACTATTTTTTTTTACATATTGTCACCAGTGCAGTACAGCGTCATCATATAACTGGCATGGCGGTGATCAGGGACACTGACTGGTGACAGTATGAAAAAAAATATATATATATATATTTCTTTTTTTTCTTATTATTTTTATATAAATAATTTTTCTTTTTTTTAAGATTTTTTTTCATATTTCACTATGACCAAAGTAGTACAATGTTACCATAGTAACATTGTACTACTTTGGGGAAGTGATCAGTATTTTTTTTTTTTTTTTTTTTTTTTTTTACACAATTTGCTTATAGCAAAGAATTACTTTGCTATAAGCAAGCATTTACCTGAATGACATCGATTCATTCAGGGTTTTTTTTTTGTGCTTAGCTGTGATTTGGCCACAGCTAATCACATGACATGTGCATGTGATTAGCTGTGACCATTCACAGCTAGACATTAGTATACAATGGATGGCATGAATGAAGCCATCCATTGTATACAACTGTCATGTGACCTGCTGTGATTGGTCACAGCAGGTCACATGGTACCAGCAACGGGCCGATACCCATATCTGTCATCGGCCGTGTCCGTCACCAAGCTGCCTCTGCATCCTTATGGACTTGTATAAAGAGAAATGCAGTTCTGATGTGAATAAAAACACAAGCTTAAAGATGGACCCCAACCTGTCACTGTCAGACATTAGAATGTATGTCTATTTCTGCACATCTAGTTTATTCTCAGAGCAGAAATTAAGTCTCTAATTAAATAACTAACTAATAAAAGCAGACAGGCTCTTACATGCAATGTCTCTTCTGCAATAAAACAAACGCACCTGTCTGCTTGCTGTCTACTCTAGAATGTTCACTGAGCTGTTCATCTGCAGCTCAGTTTACATTCTGGCACAGATCCTGTGTGCCAGGATGACTGAACTCATCCTGCACCAGCCAATGAAGACGGTTGCAGCCCAGCACCCAGAAGGACCTAGGTAGAAGATGTGGGTGCTGGAGAGAGACCTTGAACTGATGAACGAGAGGCAAGTACTTCAGGCTTTAGTTCTGCTTCAGTACACTGGTAGGTTGTTTTTTTACTGAAATGTATAAACAAGAAGTTTTACTTACATCCAGTTTAAAGCAGCATATTCATTGATATATTCAGCACTGCTCACCAAGGCAACTGCAAAGATAACATGAAGGAGGCACTATCAATAAATCAACCAGTAAACATATTGTTATGTGCAGATTTCAACAGACCTAAAGCCAAACTCTGGACACCATCATTTCACTGGATTATGATATGTGAGTAGTTTTATTCCTTAGCTGTGCAGCGATATAGATTTGGCTGGCCTTTTGTGAATGACCAAGTGGAGAGGAAGGTGGGGACACGAGACAAGCACCGCTGTTTAATGGAACTTTAGGAATGATATCTACAGCAAGCCAGAAGTGAGAGATATACTATCCAGGAGGGCGAAGGTAACATTTTGCAAATTGCTAGAGGAAATCCAAATGTCAGTCACTGCAATGCTAAGATCAAAAGCTACTCACATACCATACTCCAGAAAATTGGTTTCCCACAGAGTAGCCCCGACCCTTTTCTGGGTTCCCTGCCAGTGCTCCTGGCTCCTTCCTCATGCCAAGTGCAAGTCGATTCCTATGGGTCACTTGTGTGTGCTCGCTCCCGAGCCAGCTTTGTGTGTCCATATGTCACACAGAGAGTGGCTTGGTGTCACCCTGCTCCCTCCTCACTGCTTGTAATTGACAGAAGCAGGAGCCAATGACTCCCACTGCTGTGTCTGAGCCAATAAGGAGGACCTTTAGAACCACTTTAGGTATACAGAAACAAGGCTTTTAAAACCTTCAAAACACACTGATATCATTTACATTAAAGCAGTATTAAATCCACAAACAAAAATGTACTATACTGTAGCTTACTGATTCTTATATGTGGGTGGCTGCGGTCATTTTTTTAGGCTTTTTTTCTCTTTATCAGTGGGAGAAAACATGCCCCAAGGACCAGATAAAGGCCTGCTTTAAACAATCTTGCATTCACATGAAGAACTGTTTGAAAAGACTATCCAATCCGTTCAACCCCTTCCCGCTCACCCCAGCATCCCTTGAAATAGTTCAGAAACCCGGAGGGGGGGGGGGGGGGCAGGAGTGATCGGCAATCATGTGACCACTGTCACAGTGGTCACATGATCAGGAGCCTGTCCCACTGACTACTGATCCATTAGCCTGAACCAAGAGCTGTCTGTGACAGCTTGATCTTCGTGCTGAGAGTGTGCAGTAAATGTGTTCCCAGCACAGACAATGACCATGCATCTATGCATATGTGCAGCATGTGGGAGTTAAAACCTGCCCTTTTGCTGCCGCACATATGTGTCAGGCGGTTGTAAAGGAGTTAAAAACACAGAAAATATCATTTTGCCATTCCTTACCCATTATCAGAAAATGTACAATCTGGAATTTGTAGAATTTGAAGGAGATTATCGTCATTACAAAGCAGAGCACATGGAACACCAACAGTCCAATCACAAATGGTTCTGTCCAATCGACAGGCTGAAAACACACACACAAAGAACCTTTTAATTAAAATAAGAAAATGAATTAATCATACTGTATATTCCTAGATCAGAATTATCTGCCCACATCTCCCTCCTCCTCCCCCTACTCCCAGATGTAGCCATGAATACCGGGCTGAGCAATCCTGATTACACCAAGAGTATGGGGATCATTCTGAATTCTTGATCATTTAGGTCAATAGCGTTTAGGATAAGAAGATTATATAGTTTGTCAAGCCAAAAATATTTTCTTCTAGTTTTGGATAGAGTGGGGAAGGATTAGAACTCCTGTCAGTTTTTTACTGTTATCTGCTCAAAACAATGTACCCTTACTTCCTGTCCTGCTGACAGTCTGCGTCCAAGGCTGATCATCCTGCCTGTAATCGCTGTGAGCTCTATTACATGCAGTGAAGGAAATAAGTATTTGATCCCCTGCTGATTTTGAATGTTTGCCCACTCACAAAGAAATGATCAGTCTACAAATAGAATGGTAGGTGTATTGTAACACAGAGAGACAGAATAGCAGCAAAAAATTCAAAAGAAATGCGTGTCTAACAAATGATGCACTGGTTTGCATGTTCATGAGGAAAATAAGTATTTGATCCCCTTCAGATGACTTAGTACTTGGTGGCAAATCCCTTGTTGGCAATCAGAGAAGTCAGACATTTCCTGTAGTTGGCCACCAGGTTTGCATACAGCTCAGGAGGGATTTTGGCCCACTCCTCTTGGCAGATCCTCTCCAAGTCTTTAAGGTTTGGTGGCTGACGTTTGGCAACTCGAACTTTCAGCTCCCTACACAGATTTTCAATTGGATTAAGGTCTGGAGACTGGCTAGGCCACTCTAGGACCTTAATCTGCTTCTTCTTGAGCCACTCCTTTGTTGTCTTGGCCATGTGTTTTGGGTCATTGTTATGCTGGAACACACATCCACGACCCATTTTCAATGACCTGGCTCAGGGAAGAAGGTTCTCACCCAAGCTTTGCGGTACATTGCCCCATTCATCGTCCCTTTAAAGCGGTGCAGTTGCAGTGTCCCCTTAGCAGAAAAACACCCCCAAAGCAGAATGTTTCCACCATGTTTGACAGTTGGGATGGTGTTCTTGGGGTCATAGGCAGCATTCCTCCTCCTCCAAACATGGTGAGTTGAGTTGATGCCAAAGAGCTTGATTTTGGTCTCATCTGACCACAACACTTTCCACCAGTCCTCCTCTGCATCATTCAGATGTTCAGTGGCAAACTTCAGATGGGCCTGGACATGTGCTTTCTTGAGCAGAGGGACCTTGTGGGCACTGCAGGATTTCAGTCCTTGTTGGCGTAGTGTGTTACCAATTGTTTTCTTGGTGACTGTGGTCCCAGCTGCCTGGAGATTATTGACAAGATCCTGACGTGTAGTTCTGGGATGATTCCTCACTGTTCTCATGATCATTGACACTACACGAGGTGAGATCTTGCATGGTGCTCCAGACCTAGGGAGACTGACAGTTGTTTTGTGTTTCTTCCATTTGCGAATGATTGCACCAACTGTTGTCACCTTCTTACCAAGCTGCTTAGCAATAGTTTTGTAGCCCAGTCCAGCCTTGTGTAGGTCTACAATCTTGTCCCTGACATCCTTGGACAGCTCTTTGATCTTTGCCATGGTGGAGAGTTTGGAATCTGATTGATTGCTCCTGTGGACAGGTGTCTTTTATACAGGTAGCAAAATGAGATTAGCAGCACTCCCTTTAAGAGACTTCTTCTAATCTCAGTTTGTTACCTGTATGAAAGACACCTGATAGCCAGAAATCCTGCTGAATGATAGGGGATCAAATACTTATTTCCCTCATGAACATGCAAATCAGTGCATAATTTGTTAGACATGCATTTCTTTTGAATTTTTTGTTGCTATTCTGTCTCTCAGTGTTACAATACACCTACCTTGCAATTTTTAGATTGATCATCTCTTTGTGAGTGGGCAAACATTCAAAATCAGCAGGGGATCAAATACTTATTTCCCTCACTGTATAAATGGCCATGAATGGATGTGGGGGCTGTCAGCCTCCCAAGATTTGAATGGAGCGGATTGCTGAGTCTCCTGCAGGAAATCATACTTTGCTCCATACACAAGTTTGAATGAGGACCAATTCTCCAAAACCATCCTAAGCGCACATTCAAGCTACAACCCCTGTTAAATTGTTATCCATTTCTGTGTAGCTGCAGCTCTGACCAAAGTTGAATAATGTCCTTGCTATAAGTGTGCAGCTCTGACCAAAGTTGAATAGTGTCCTTGCTATAAACGTGCAGCTCTGACCAAAGTTGAATAATGTCCTTGCTAGAAGTGTGCAGCTCTGACCAAAGTTGAATAATGTCCTTGCTATAAAAGTGCAGCTCTGACCAAAGTTGAATAATGTCCTTGCTATAAACGTGCAGCTCTGACCAAAGTTGAATAATGTCCTTGCTAGAAGTGTGCAGCTCTGACCAAAGTTGAATAATATCCTTGCTATAAAAGTGCAGCTCTGACCAAAGTTGAATAATGTCCTTGCTATAAGTGTGCAGCTCTGACCAAAGTTGAATAATGTGCTTGCTATAAGTGTGCAGCTCTGACCAAAGTTGAATAGTGTCCTTGCTATAAGTGTGCGGCTCTGACCAAAGTTGAATAATGTCCTTGCTATAAGTGTGCGGCTCTGACCAAAGTTGAATAATGTGCTTGCTATAAGTGTGCAGCTCTGACCAAAGTTGAATAGTGTCCTTGCTATAAGTGTGCGGCTCTGACCAAAGTTGAATAATGTCCTTGCTATAAGTGTGCGGCTCTGACCAAAGTTGAATAATATCCTTGCTATAAAAGTGCAGCTCTGACCAAAGTTGAATAGTGTCCTTGCTATAAAAGTGCAGCTCTGACCAAAGTTGAATAATGTGTTTGCTATAAGTGTGCAGCTCTGACCAAAGTTGAATAGTGTCCTTGCTATAAGTGTGCAGCTCTGACCAAAGTTGAATAGTGTCCTTGCTATAAAAGTGCAGCTCTGACCAAAGTTGAATAATGTCCTTGCTATAAACGTGCAGCTCTGACCAAAGTTGAATAATGTCCTTGCTAGAAGTGTGCAGCTCTGACCAAAGTTGAGTAATGTCCTTGCTATAAGTGTGCAGCTCTGACCAAAGTTGAATAATGTGCTTGCTATAAGTGTGCGGCTCTGACCAAAGTTGAATAATGTCCTTGCTATAAACGTGCAGCTCTGACCAAAGTTGAATAATGTCCTTGCTATAAGTGTGCAGCTCTGACCAAAGTTGAGTAATGTCCTTGCTATAAGTGTGCAGCTCTGACCAAAGTTGAATAATGTGCTTGCTATAAGTGTGCGGCTCTGACCAAAGTTGAGTAATGTCCTTGCTATAAGTGTGCAGCTCTGACCAAAGTTGAATAATGTGCTTGCTATAAGTGTGCGGCTCTGACCAAAGTTGAATAATATCCTTGCTATAAAAGTGCAGCTCTGACCAAAGTTGAATAGTGTCCTTGCTATAAAAGTGCAGCTCTGACCAAAGTTGAATAATGTGCTTGCTATAAGTGTGCAGCTCTGACCAAAGTTGAATAGTGTCCTTGCTATAAGTGTGCAGCTCTGACCAAAGTTGAATAGTGTCCTTGCTATAAGTGTGCAGCTCTGACCAAAGTTGAGTAATGTCCTTGCTATAAGTGTGCAGCTCTGACCAAAGTTGAATAATGTGCTTGCTATAAGTGTGCGGCTCTGACCAAAGTTGAGTAATGTCCTTGCTATAAGTGTGCAGCTCTGACCAAAGTTGAATAATGTGCTTGCTATAAGTGTGCGGCTCTGACCAAAGTTGAATAATATCCTTGCTATAAAAGTGCAGCTCTGACCAAAGTTGAATAGTGTCCTTGCTATAAAAGTGCAGCTCTGACCAAAGTTGAATAATGTGCTTGCTATAAGTGTGCAGCTCTGACCAAAGTTGAATAGTGTCCTTGCTATAAGTGTGCAGCTCTGACCAAAGTTGAGTAATGTCCTTGCTATAAGTGTGCAGCTCTGACCAAAGTTGAATAATGTGCTTGCTATAAGTGTGCAGCTCTGACCAAAGTTGAATAATGTGCTCGCTATAAGTGTGCAGCTCTGACCAAAGTTGAATAATGTCCTTGCTATAACCGTGCAGCTCTGACCAAAGTTGAATAATGTCCTTGCTATAAGTGTGCAGCTCTGACCAAAGTTGAGTAATGTCCTTGCTATAAGTGTGCAGCTCTGACCAAAGTTGAATAATGTGCTTGCTATAAGTGTGCGGCTCTGACCAAAGTTGAGTAATGTCCTTGCTATAAGTGTGCAGCTCTGACCAAAGTTGAATAATGTGCTTGCTATAAGTGTGCGGCTCTGACCAAAGTTGAATAATATCCTTGCTATAAAAGTGCAGCTCTGACCAAAGTTGAATAGTGTCCTTGCTATAAAAGTGCAGCTCTGACCAAAGTTGAATAATGTGCTTGCTATAAGTGTGCAGCTCTGACCAAAGTTGAATAGTGTCCTTGCTATAAGTGTGCAGCTCTGACCAAAGTTGAGTAATGTCCTTGCTATAAGTGTGCAGCTCTGACCAAAGTTGAATAATGTGCTTGCTATAAGTGTGCAGCTCTGACCAAAGTTGAATAATGTGCTTGCTATAAGTGTGCAGCTCTGACCAAAGTTGAATAATGTGCTTGCTATAAGTGTGCGGCTCTGACCAAAGTTGAATAATATCCTTGCTATAAAAGTGCAGCTCTGACCAAAGTTGAATAGTGTCCTTGCTATAAAAGTGCAGCTCTGACCAAAGTTGAATAATGTGCTTGCTATAAGTGTGCAGCTCTGACCAAAGTTGAATAGTGTCCTTGCTATAAGTGTGCAGCTCTGACCAAAGTTGAATAGTGTCCTTGCTATAAGTGTGCAGCTCTGACCAAAGTTGAATAATGTCCTTGCTATAAGTGTGCAGCTCTGACCAAAGTTGAATAATGTCCTTGCTAGAAGTGGAGGCCATTTACATACAGTACTTTCCGAAGATGGAAAATTCCCAGGACGTGGCTAAGTGAGGCCCAGCTCTTTCTCTCAGTAAACTCCCTCACATTCTCTCTCTATCCCCTGATGCAGTAGTTCGGAGCTCCGCATTTGAGAGTCACTCCTGTGATGGTGGAGGTGGGCAGTAATACCTAGGTGTCTCTTTACCGTGTCCTGGGAATTTTCCAGGCAGGTTTCAGGAGGTACATAAATGGTCTACACATATAGCAAGGGCATTCTTTACCTTAGGTCAGAGCTGCACAGTTTGCTTTTTATCTACAGACACCCCTTATCTGCATAGGCAGTTTTTTTGGTAAAAGTGAACAATGCATTAACTACTTCCAGCCCAGGCCCTGGCATCCCTTAACTTGGCTATTATGCCTGGAAAGAGGGGTGGAGAGTCTCCCTGATCACGTGACCATTGTGGTCAGCTGTCACGTGGCAGGATCAGCTCCTGATCATTACTAGAGAAGAGATTAAGGGGGGATATGATCAACATGTATAAATACATCAGTGGTTCATATAGTGAACTCGGTGTAGAGCTATTCACTCTGAGGTCATCACAGAGGACAAGGGGGCACTCTACATCTGGAGGAAGAGAATTTTAATCTCCAAACATGGAAAGGTTTCTTCCCAGTAAGAGCTGTAAAAATGTGGAATAGACTCCCTCAAGAGTTGGTTCTGGCCAGCTCAGTGGATTTCTATAAAAAAGGCCTGGATTGTTTCTTAGATACACAGAATATAACTGGCTACTAACATTTATAGGTAAAGTTGATCCAGGGAATATCTGATTACCTCTCAGGGGATCAGGAAGTAATTTTTCCCCTGCAGGAGCAAATTGAATCATGCTTTGCTGGGGTTTTTGCCTTCTCCTGGATCAACTGTGGGTGTAGGATAACTTTTTTTTTTAATGGCTGAACTGGATGGACTTTTGTCTTTTTTCAGCCAGACTATGTAATTATTGGTTGGTAGGGGATCAAATACTTATTTTGCTCACTGAATTGCAACTCAATTTATAACATTTGTATTGTGTTTTTTCTGGATTTTTGGTTGATATTCTTTCTCTATCATTTAAAATACACCTATGATAAAAATGATAGACACTTCATTTCCTTGTAAGTGGGAAGATACAAAATCTGCAGGGGATCAAATAATTCTTTTCCACACTGTATGTAGTTAAGGGCTTGTTCGCCCCATGTCCAGTATCCTGTATCGGTCCACTCCGGATAATAGCAGGGGTCTACAAGGGTCCTATGTTTTCATGTAACATGTTTTCATGTAACGTGTTCACACTGCAACACACATCAAGGCATAGGAATGCACAGGGGCAGACTGACCATTTGGAAACTCAGGCACTGCCCGAGGGCCCAGGGTCAGTAGGGGGCCATGAGATGCCCCTGGTACCATTTTAATAGGCTTTTTTGAGTTTGGGCAAGGACACAGGGGCCCCATGATCCCCAATTGCCCGGGGCCCCATGAGTTGTCAGTCCGCCCCTGGGAATACAATGCAACTCGCAGAAAAATGTGCATTACTGCCGATGGATTTCCAGTACATGTCTATGTGCAGTGCGCTGTGACTTGTGTGAACAGGATACATAGACAACCATTGTGTTGTGCTGATCTATGCAAACGAACACAGCTCAATGCAGACAGTGTGGATGAGCCCATCACCAGCACTGACTCAGCGTACCCCGGGTGACAGGTTCACTGTACACACATCCCTGTCATCATAAGAGGTGATCGGCCATCATTACCCCTCCCCCCAGTGTACACTCACTGCGCGCTGGAGCAGCGCCCACACCCCGGCCTCTCGCTCCATGCCACCTGGCTCAGGAAATGCCACTCTAGGAAGGATCCAACGCAGGCTCCGCCTTCCACCTGCCGCGCTCTGCTTGAGATACTGCGAGAGGCTGATATGCAAAACAGACCCCTCTCCTCCCCTGCCCCGCCCCCTGTCTGTCTACCCGTTCTGAAAGTAGGCTGCGGAAGGCGTAATACCTCCTGCAGTCTCCTCCCACCGCTCCGCCCTCTGGCACTCCGAGCCTATAATAGCACAGAGCGGCGTCGCTGCTGCACGCATGTTCTCTTCCGGGATCAGGGGAGCACGTGATGAGAGAGCGCACCATGTGACTGATGTGCTGTGCATGTTCAATGGCTGGGAGTGAGACCAGAAACAAAGTACAAAGTAATACATATCCAGCACTGTGGGGATTCTTTTAGACAGTGACTGTGTCCTTCATTCGCAATGTGCCCTATCCATGTTTGTCTCCTCTTCCCTTTAAACTGAATGCATATTGATTACACAGGTTCTGAGGCTAATTTAACCACTTGACAACCAAGCTATAGCCGAATGATGCCTACAGCACAGTTGTCCAGTTCTGGCCTGCCGTCATATGTTCTGCTGGAATGCACTCCCCTGGTGCTGTCTGACACAGCTGATCACATGACATTGTAAAAGGCCAATCACAGCAGCCTTTTACCACGTGATCGGCTATGTGTTGGATCACAAAGTAAATTCAGTTGCTGCATATTGGCAGCACTTTCCTTACAAAGTCACAGCGTGCAAACGTTTTATTTCAGGTACGTATATAGTGCCATCAATTTATGCTTCACATATAATGTGTACATTCACATCAGTCCCTAACCATCAAGGGGCGTACAATCTAAGGTCCCTAACTCACATTCATACTTACACATACTAGGGCCAATTTAGACAGGATCCAATTCACCTACCAGCATGTCTCTGGAGTGTGGGAGGAAACCCACGCAGGTGGTGCTGTGGTTGGGATTTGAACCAATGACGCTAGTACTGCCAGGCGGAAGTGCTAACCATTTAGCCACTGTGGTGCCCTAAAGTAATGCCGATAACTGGCAAGAGTCACAGAGGACATTGACAATGATGATCAGTGCTGCCAGTCAGTGCCCATCATTGTCGCCTATCGGTGCAGCCTCATCAGCGCACATCAGTGAAGAAAAAAAATTACATGTTTGCAAAATTTTATAATGGAAATAAATAAAACAATTTTTTTGCTCTTTTATCGTTTATATTGCAAAAAATAAAACCCCAGTGGCAATTAAATACCACCAAAAGCAAGCTCTATTTGTGTGAAAAAAATGTCAGATGGGTACGGTGTTGCATGACTGCACAATTGTCATTCAAATTACAACAGCGCTGAAAGCTGAAAATTGGCCTGGGCAGGAAGGGGGTAAAAGTGCCTGATAGGAAAGTGGTTAAAGCAGATAAGGTACTAAGTGAGATTAATTACCACCTTAACCCCTTGATGCCGAGCGCACGCAAATATGCGGCCTTTCGGCGTCTGGGCCTTGACGCTGAGCCACTGCATATCTGCGTGCAATTAGAAAATACATATGTGCTGAGAGCGCGAGCCCTGCATGCTCCCAGCACATATGTCCATGACTCACAGAAAGGTCCCGATCTCCCCTTTCGATCGGCACCTTTTCAGATCATGTGACCGCCGTGATGGCGAATCACGGCGATCACATGACCCTAAAACCCTCCTGGCTTCTGAAACCTCTTAAAGGGCCGGGAGGTGCTGGTGCTAAGAGGTTAATCAGCCACAGAACCTGTGTGATTAATGTGTTTGGTTTTAACCACTTCCATACAGGACACTTTTACTCCCTTCCTGCCCAGACCAATTTTCAGCTTTCACTGCTCTCACACTTAGAATGACAATTACTCAGTCATTCAACACTGTACCCATATAACATTTTCGTCCTTTTTTTCACACAAATAGAGCTTTCCTTTGGTGGTATTTAATCACCACTGGGTTATTGATTTTTTGGACCTTAAAAAAATGCGTTTTTCTTAGTTTCTGTTATAAAATTTTGCAAATAAGCAATTTTTATTCAAAAATTTTGACCAAACTTTATACTGCTACATTTCTTTGGTAAAAATAACACAAATCAGTGCATATTATATGGTCTGTGTGAAAGCTATAGCGTCTACAACTATGGTACCAATCATTGAAAATTGATGCAACCTGATCACACTTGATGTACCGATGCCCTATTTCATTTCTTGAGGCCCTAACAAGCCAGGACAGTACAAATACCCCCCAAATGTCCCCTTTTTGGAAAGTAGACATTCCAAAGTATTAAGAGGCATGGTGAGTTTTTTGAATTTGTAATTTGTTTCTCAGGATTCTTTGGAAAATTAGGATTTTATTTTTGTTTCTCCCACAAAATTGTCATATTAACAAGTTATTTCTCACACACAGGACAGGCATACTTGCAACTACACCCCAAAATACATTCTGCTACTCCTGAATATAACGATGCCAAATGTGTGAGACTTTTCTACAGCCTGACCACATAGAGAGTCCCAACATGCAAGGAGCACCATCAGGTGTTCTAGGAACATAAATTACACATCTAACATCTTGACTATTACATTTTTGAAGGCTCTGAAACACCAGGACAATGGAATTATCCACAAAATGACCCCATTTTGAGAAGCAAACACCCCAACGTATATTCCTGAGGCATGATGAGTCTTTTGAACATGTCGTTTATTTCCAAAAGTTTTCAGAATATGCGGGAAGACAATGAAAATTATTATTTTTTTTTTACACAAAGTTGTCATTTATAAGATATTTCTAACACATAGTATGTATATACCACAAAATATACCCCAAAATACATTCTGCTACTCCTCCTGAATATTATGATACCAAATGTGTGAGACTTTTCCACAGCCTGACCATATAGAGAGTCCCAACATCCAAGTAGCACCTTTAGGCATTCTAGGGGCACAAATTACACATCTAATTTCCTGACAACTTAGCACACTTTTCAGGGCCCTGGAGCACCAGGACAGAGGAAACGCCCACAAAATTACCCAAAATGTTTGGAAAGCAAACACTCCAACATGTTTTTTATGAGGCATAATGAGTCTTTTGAACATGTCATTTTTTTCCACAAGTTTTCAGAATATGTAGAAAGAAAATGAAAACGTACTTTTTTTTAATACAAAGTTGTCCATTTATAAGATATTTCTAACACATAGCATGTAAATAACAAAAAATACACCTAAAAATACATTCTGCTACTCATCCTGAGTATGGCGATACCACATGCATGAGAATTTTTAACAGCCTGGCCAATTACACAGGCCCGACATCCAAGTAGCATTGTCAGGTGTTCTAGGTACATAATTATTCATCTAATTTCCAGACAAACTATCATTTTTGAAGGCCCTTCATAGTTCTAATTCACATAGCATGTATATACCAAGAATTACACCCCAAAATACATGCTGCTGAGAAAATGGTAAGCAACAGATTATTTGTGGTTTTAGTAGTGCAGTTGTCCACAGAGGAGAGCATTGGTCCAGGCAGCAGGCAGGGATGTGGTCAGCGACATCAAAAGCAATTGTCCAGGCAGCAGACAGGATTATTGTCCATAGTCAGTACAGGAAGCAGATATTGTCAGCACAGCCAAACTATTGGTCCAGGCAATAGGCAGAGGTGTGGTCAGCAGCAGCCAAAGGAATTGTCAAGGCAGAGACATGGTCAGCACAGTCAAAATGTCAGTCCTGGTAGTAGGCAGGAACATGGTCCATGGTACAGGTAGCAGGCATAGGTGTGGTCAGTTTATGCGACAAGCAGAGGCATGTTGGCAATAAGTTGTCAGCAGGCAGAAATATCAGGCTTAGGGCCTTGGTCAGGTAAGACCTGGGCACAGGGGTAGAGGCTTCGTCCCACGCATCTCTTTGAGGCCTCCGGACTAACAGACCCCTTTCCGGGAATTATAAAAACTGGGGAACACCAAAAACTTAGTTTTCTCCACTGTGAAAACTATTCTGAAGCCCCTCATATATGTGAGAGCCCTGTGTTATCTTGACTCCTACTACTACAGTAGCAGGGCAGAGGATCAGTTCAAGCGGCGGGAAAAAAAAGTGGTCAATTATCAAGCCGAGGTCAGTTCAGATGGCAGGCAGAAATGTGGTTGACAGTTTAGACGGCAAGCAGAGGTATCATCAATAAACAGGCCAGGGTCAGTTCCAGAGCAGGCAGAGATATGGTCAGTTTAGGCAGCAGGCAGAGGCGTGGTTGGATAAAAGGCCAGGGTCAGTTCCAGAACAGGCAGAGGTATGGTCAGCTTAAGCAGCAGGCAGTGGCTTTGTCAAATAACAGGCTAGGGTCATTTCAGGAGCAGTTAGAGGCTTGATGAGTGAATGGCAGGAAATTCAGAATTACGTTTACCATGCTTCACTAATATTGTAGAGAAGTATGGTAACGGTGGAAAGAGTTACCTATGCAGAGGCCTGGTTGGGAAGGATACTGAGGATGATAAAAGCTGGTGTCTTGTCTAACTCCTCTTCTGGAGCACACCCAATATTTTTTCTCCAGGAGGGACTTTTTCAGGCTGCACTGCTGGGTGCTGATGAGGCTGCACTGCTGTGTGCTGATGAGGGTGCACTGATGGGTGCTGATGTGAAGTGATTAGGCTGCACTAATGGGCACTGATGAGGTTGCACTGATGTGCAATAATGCACTGAGGCTGCACTGATAAACTGCCACTGATGTGCACTGATGGGTGCTAATGAGAATCCATTGATAGGGTGGCACAGTTGTGTACGAATAAGTGGCACTGATGTACACTGATAAACAGCAGTAATTATGTAGCACTGATGGTAACTGATGAGCACTGATGTGCACCGATAAGTTGCAGTGATGAGGCAGCACCGATGGGCACTGATAAGCTGCAGTGATAATGCAGCACTGGTGGACACCGATGAGCCCTCGCTGATGGGCACTGATGAGCACAGATGGGCACTGATGAGCACGGATATACATAGATGGGCACTGATGTGCACAGATGAGCTCTGATGAGCACTCGTATACACAGATGGGCACTGATGAGCACGGATATACATAGATGGGTACTGATGTGCACAGATAGGCACTG